TATCCTCATCTTCATTGCCATACTCACAACATTTCGGCCGTTTTACGCTCCGGTCTTCATCTGGTGATTGGAATTTCGAACCGAATCCTTTATTTCGTCCACCAGGATAGATTGTTCTAGCTTCACGTGCAATGCATCTTACGGATGTTTTAGTTATTTCCCTTTAACTCAATTCTCCAAATTCTTGGTTCTTGGTTCTTGGTTCACCATTGCTGTGGTCTGGTATTGAACTCACAACTCTTTAGGTCTAGTCACTGGATCTAACCAACGTCTTTATCCACTGGGCCATGTGTCCTTGAATTTTTGGGATTTATAAACTTAATATCTCAGAAAACTTTTTTGCCAGTGGTCATATTGCAATTTTTATTATTATTATTATTATTATTGCATTTTTACCATAGTAACTTATATTGCAATTTTTGTTATTATTATTATTGCATTTTTTACCAGAGCATATATTGCAATTTTCTTTGTTGTTATTCATTGCCTTTCTCTAGCACTCCTTATTACTGGTTCCCATATTGTATTCATATGGTTGGTCGGCTCAGGAGATTTTTGTGGCCTAGCATATGTGCTGATTCCTTAAGTTTTTGTATTTTCCAATGATGCTCTCTGTCTATTATTTCAACATCATCACACGAGGTGGGAGCTGTAATCTCCCTTTTTCCCTCCATATGTGATCTAATTATGTGTTTATGAACTTTTTTCAATTGAAAAATTACAGGGATCCTCCGCTGAAATCTATAAAGGCCAGGTTATGTTTGCTTCAGCGTCTTCCTTCAAACAAATACAAATCTGGTTGTGCCCATTACGCAATCATTACAATAAATAAATTATAAATGATCCGTGAACAAGTAACGTTTCTTCTTCATTAATTACGACACAGTTAAAAGTACAAGCACACAAAGAATAGCAAAATCAAAGCAAAGATCACGTGATTCCAAATTTAGTCCATCACTATAGACATCTTCCTCTTCAACCTTGGTACGAGGGCCCATCAAAAGGTCAGAAGGTAACACCATACAGAGAATTTCTTTGAATCTATATCAGTTATAACAGTAATATAACACGCATTATATTATCTATTATATATTATCTATCCAATATTATTGTTAAATATGATATATAACGTATTATGGTTATATATTATCTATTATTATTGTTATATAATATATATAACTTATTATTGTTATATATATATATTATCTATTATATATTATTATTATTGTTATATAATATATAATATAATATTGTCATATATTATCTATTGTATATTATCTATTATTATTGTTATATAATATATATTATTGCTTATATATTATTTATTATATATTATAAATATATAATATTATTATTATTATATAATATATAATATATTATTGTTATATATTATCTGTTATATATTATCTATCTATTATTATTGTTATATAATATATATTTGTTGTTATATATTATCTATTATATATTATCTATTATTATTGTCATATAATATATATGATATATTATTGCTATATATTATTTATTATATACTATCTATTATTATTGTTATATAATATATAATATATTGTTATGTATTATCTATTATATATTATCTATTATTATTATTGTGATATAATATATATTATTGTCGTGTATTATCTATTATATATTATATATTATTATTGCTATATAATATATTATTGTTATACACTATCTATTATATATTATTTATCTATTATTATTGTTATATAATATATATTATTGTCATATATTATCTATCATATATTATCTATCTATTATTATTGTTATATAACATATTTAATAGAATCACCTAAAACATAGCATAATGAAGACAAATATATCAGTTTCCTAACCCTAGCCCTCGATATAGTCACTTTCCTTCTCAATCGACGTACAAGGGTCAGTCAAAAAGTGATATCAGTTCTTTTAATTAATAGACACACAAAATATGCCACGATGAACTCAAATGACTGAGGATTTCAAATCTAGTTCTCAACATCATCTCCTTCGTTTTAAATAGTGGTATTGCACCCTTGAATCAGGACATACATACCCGCTTCGAAGAAGGCCCTTGTCTGCGTGTTCAAGTTACCTCTTTCATCTCATTATAATTGTATAACCTCTGAGTTTATTTCTTTATTGATCTGAGTACGAAAATCTAAGGATACCAGGTCAACAATCGTTCATAGAGTTTTTCGGTATTCTGAGAATCCACTTTGCATGGACATTTGAGTTCGCACTAATCTGCAAGCAGTGTCATGGCTCTTCTGAAGACTTTCGAAGTTTTGCAATAGCGATTATTCTGTCAGTTGTAATGAAAGCATCAGCATGTTTGACCACATCTTTATTCAAATCAGTAGCTGACCTGTCACTGTGGAACCTGTTAATAAGATCAGGTTCATCTTTCTCTCTGGAACTACCATTAACCCTAACCCTACAAAGCTCCTTGGTTTGCTTACATCAAGTACAGCCTTTTCAATTTCCTTTCCGTGTTAACCTACTGTGAATGTTTAGAGCATTTTCACTTTCCAAAAACATAAATTCAGTAAACTGCAGATCACGGGCCGTATGCGGCCAGTTCGGCTTTCTGCTTTTGTTGTTTTTTACAGCTTATCAGCCCTTTCTGGGTTATTTTAAATATATATTATTGTTATATATTATCTATATAATATATTATTGTTGTACATTATCTATTATATATTATCTATTATTATTATTGTTATATAACATATTTAATAGAAGCACCCAAAACAAAAATATAGAATGTTGAACAGCACTCAACACTCAAAAATATTGGACACCTGCTTGCTGCCATTTGCCGAAAAACACGGAATTGATCAATCAAATCTCATTTTTATGCAAGACAATTCTCCCTTCCATACATTGAAGCAGATGAAAAATTATTTTTTCCGAAAAAAATGTCATTGTTATGGTATGGCTACCATAGTCTCTTGACCAAAACCCAATCGAGAATTTATGGAGCCTTTAGAAATTGAGACTTCGTAGAAAATCATTCAAAACAAAAATTTTAAAATTTTATTGTGGAGTGCAACAGTTTGCTAGGAGATGACATCTGTAAAAATGTCATTAAGAGTATGAAGGAAACGAGTCAAAAAAGTTCAGAAAAACAAAGATGGAAGCATAAATTACTAATGAAATTTTTCTTTTGTGTTTTTTATTTTACTAATTTTTTTTTTTTAGGAAAATATTAAACTTTGTACATAATACTGTATAAAAAGTGATTCACTTCTTTGCACAGTAAATATTTACCTTAAAAACAAAAAATAACATGCTTTAGGTTTGTTTTTTTTATAAAATTGCAGACAATGTATCATTTCCCTTACTTATACACGCATTTTTTTAAACTCAATTTTTTAGCTAGAATATTAAGAAAACACAAGATTTTTTCAAAAAAAATTTGACTGAGTCACTTTTTTTTGCACAGCACTGTAAATAGTGTAAATAATAACTGCACATCCCATAAATTCAGACAGAAAAGAAATATGAAATTATAGACAGCCATAATCGTTCACATCCTGAAGACTCGGTACAAAAAACAATATGAACTACAGATTGTTATGTACATCTAATACGAATAACAAATTTAAATCGTAGATATTTTCCTTCCAGCATCTTTGATAAATGATACTTCTAAAAAATGTTTTAAGTGCTTCTGGTGACCTCAAACGCTTGCCATCGATACAGACTTTGACATTTGTTTTTTCAAAACTGCTTACATTTAACTCCGAAAATTTCAAAAGAAATTATTTCATTAAAAAATGAACTTTTCATATTGCAGTGATTAACCAATGCTGCACAACAGTCAACATACGGAATTAACACAGAACTTTTCGATTATTTATTACACAGAACGGAGTACAGATAATATTTCTTACATTTTAATTCCAAGATCTTTCAAGACGTTGATGTTTATGGCTCTCCACATTTTTCTAATTATCTGTAAATTGCCCTTGGGAAATATAGTGGAGTGGTTTTCCGTTTCCTTTGCCATAGTTTGGAATTCAGTGTTTCCCAACTCGCTAAGGCTAAAAATACCAGCTTATCCTGCTTTTTAACCCATAGCTGACGGGAGAAGAAACAGATTTGCGCGAAAGTGAAACTAACTGACTAGAGCGGAACTTGAACTCGGCTCGTAGATTTCACTCATATCCTTTATTCCACTTCCACGTCCATATTTGAATTTTCTTGCTCAAAATAAAAATCAGATCTTCGAAAATGAGAAAATATTACAGAAATAAATCTTCTTCTATGTGCCGTGTCCCTTCAGGACGTAGACGATCATGGCTCCCCACAACTTCCTATCCTTTGAGGCTTTTCATAAATTTTGTCTTTTTGTTATCTCTCCTAAACCTTGTTCCGTCATCCATTTACTCAAGTTTACCAGATAGGTGATGCATTGTTTTCCTCTGTCCTTCTTGCCTTCAATCTGTCCTGTGAGTATCAGATTTTCCAAGCCTTCTTTCCTCATTATAAGAAATTTCAACTCTTTCTTCCTGGTGCTATGTATATGTGTCCTGTTTGTTTCTATTTTTCCCTAAAACTTCGTCGCCGCTCACATGTTCGGTCCATGATATCCTCAGCATCCTTCTGTAGAAATTTCAACTGCCTCTTCCTGATGTTAAGTATAAGTTTCCTTTTTGTTGCCATTTTCTCCAAAACCTCGTCGTTGCTCACATCTTCGGTCGATAGCATTCCCAGCATCTTTCTGTAGAACGACATTTCTGTTGCTTTAAGTCTCTTCTTCATCTTTATGGAAATTATCCAACATTCGCTATTACACAAGAGGAAAGACATCACGTATAGTTTAGTCTCACTGAAAAGTTCACAAAAATCAGTCTGTATTTGTATCTTGTCAAATGTATGTCGTGGAACTAATATCTTTAAATTGCTTTCATTATGCTGTAGGGAAATTGTAAAGAGGCTGGCACTTTCTTTACATTATATTTTGAAAATGGACAGTGTGCTTATTGGCGTATTTTATGAAAAGGTATTGCTGACAGGAATTATGGAAAAATGAGTTGATGAGTCTGTGACTTCAAGAATGAATCAGCAAAATTAAATACTTTTAAAAGAAAATTCGTTTTTTAATTGATACAAAAATAGAAGTGTACGGAATTTTCAAGAAATTTGCAAAAGATATTTTATATTCTTATCTCAGTCTCTTTCCATCTTTTCATCTCCCCATTTTGTTCATCTGTCTGACTGTCTATCTATCTATCTATCTATCTATCTATCTATCTAATATTTTTAATCTATCTTGGTATCTTCTTTATCTATCTATATCAGACAATTTATATCGATCTGTCAATCAGATTTTTTTTAATCTATCTACGCGTTTTCATTATATTTCTCAATATCTCTAACAATCTGTTTCTATCTACTTATCTCAATTTGTTCTAATCTACCGTAAGCTCAGCAGTATTATCCTATCTATCTATCTGTCTGTCTGTCTGTCTGTCTCAGTCAATTTATATCTATCTCAATTTGTTATCTCAATATATTCATTATCTATCTATGTATCTATCGATCGATCGATCTCAGTCAATTTATATCTATCTCAGTCAGTTTATATCTATCTATCTGTTCATATCTATCTAGCTAGCTAGCTCGATATCACTTTCTGTTCATATGTATTGATTGATCTTTTTTCATATCTAACTCTTTGCAATAAATGTTGATTTTTTTACTGTCAGAGGCTGTCTCACGGAAACTCTGTCTATTTCTCTCTCTCTCTGTCTCTCTCTCTCTCTCACACACACACACACACACACAGTTCCCTTCATATCTATCTATCTATCTATCTATTTGTCTGCCTGTCTGTCTCTCTATGGCAGTCAATTTATATCTATCCATCTATCGGTCGCAGTCAATTTATATCTATCTATCTATCTATCTATCTATCTCAATCTGCTCATTATCTATCTATCTATCTATCTATCTATCTATAACAGTCTGTCGTTATTTATAATAGTTTGCTCATATATATCTATCTATCACTCTATCTATCTATCTATCTATCTATCTATCTATCTGTCTATCTGTCTGTCTGTCTGTCTATGGCAGTCAATTTATATCTATCCATCTATCAGTCGCAGTCAATTTATATCTATCTATCTATCTATCTATCTATCTATCTATCTCAATCTGTTCATTATCTATCTATCTATCTATCTATCTATCTATCTATCTGTCTGTCTGTCTGTCTGTCTACAGCTAGCTATTTCCCTAACACGATTGATGCCATACAAATAATTGTGGCCTATCTTTATATTATCTATCTTAATCTGTCCATTCCATTAACGTCAGTCTACCTTCACTTTGTCTATATCTCTCTCCTTCTCTTTCTTTTATTTATATATACGTTGGCTGGTTGTTTAATTTTGTTTAGTGGCATATCAATCTCTACGGGCTATTTAATGCCGAAATCTAAATATTTTAAAAACAATTCATTTTTTAGTTAATAATGGTTTTAGTAATACAAAATATATATATATATATATACATATGTATATATATATATATATATATATATATATATATATATATATATATATATATATATATATATATATATATATATATCATTGAATATGACAGAATATTTTAAAATAACTCATTTAATTTATATATGATTCCAATGCCTAAGCTTCATAGATACCTTACGATACACGTCAGCGGATTTTTTAACCTAATTCCTTTGTTTTGCCTACACAACATTTGGTCTGATTCCTGTGTAGCAAAACTAATGTTCTGTTGAAGGCATGAACTTGTGCAATTAGTTAATTTCGGTATCTGTCTATATTTCTGAGATGAGGTATTATGTACACTATTTACATTATTCGGACTATTGTCCTCATCTTTGTTGCCATATTTATTACAACGTTTTGGCCTTTCAGTATCTGTCTATATTTCTGAAATGAGGTATTATGTACACTTTTTATATTATTCGGACTATTGTCCTCATCTTTGTCGCCATATTTATTACGTTTCGGCCGTTGTACGCTCCGGCCTTCTTCAGTAATAAGTAGTGCCAGAGAAAAGCGATAATAACAACAAAAATTGCAATATGAGGTCTGCTAAAAACATGAAATGATAACAGCAAAAATTGCAATATGAGCACTGGTAAAAAAATGGTTGCTGAGATATTAGGTTTATAATACCCAGAAATTCATACCCAGATGTCCTCAAGGACACATGACACAGTGGATAATGGCGTTGGTTAGATCCAGTGACAGGATCCAAAGAGTGTAAGTTGTAATAAATATGGCGACAAAGATGAGAACAATAGTCCGATTACTGTAAATAATGTAGTTAATTTCGGTACAAACCGCCAATTATGATTTTTATTTATTCGTTGTGTAGACAATTGTATCGGTTATTTGGAATTTCATAGTCAAATTTAACCAAACGTGGTCCTGTGAGTGATGAATTATTTTCTACCCTACAACCGCTTTCCCTTAGACGAAACGTCGTGTATCTATCGCTATTTCCATATTAAATGTTCTATATATGCTAGATTCTTTATATCCATATATATACACACACCTTATGCAGCTGGGACCCACCAAAATTTGTCACTTCACACGAATGAATCATCCTTATTCTCTTCGAATTCCATTAATAAGGAGAAAGTTCTAATTCTTACCAAGAATTGCTGCTTTATAAAACCGACACCGGCAGCACTTTTCCCGAATCCCTACAAACTTAACCTCTTCAAAATCTGGGTTAGCCGTTATCTTTCCAACATAACCTCATAAATTTCTCTTCTTACATTCTGTTACGGTCATACACCACCATACAATGTCTCTCTACTGTGAATTGATCTTGGGCGAATATTAATATATAAAAAAAACGACTAGAAAAATCGTTATTGCATTAATATTTAATCTCTGTATAATCTCTGTATATCTATCATTTAATTAAAACTGTGCTAACAGAGAAATAATTGAATAAGAAGAAAATCAAAATTTTATCATCTCTAAAAAATAGATAATAAAAATCACCAGACGAACAAAGCCATAGTTCGACCAATGAAACAGAAAACTTTCACAACCAGGATATAAGACTGCGGGTCAATCAAAAGCAGACCGCCTTTTCATACAGTCTCTATAGATGTGTATATAAACAGATGGAAAATCAACCAAAATCAGTGTATAAATTCATTTTGTCCATTCTCCGATATTGCGGTTATCGTAACATACCCAGAGACGAAATATGACATTTGTCCGACTAGCTGGCAACCTTAAACAGATAAATCGACCTTGCTACATTGAAAGCAAGCATACCTTCCTTTGTGACACTGAGGTGGTGAGGTGATTAAGCATTAATTCTAAGCAGGAAAAGAAAAGAAGCCCAAAATTAAATATAGGTTAGAAGAGGGAGAGAGAAAAAGAGAGAGAGAGAGAGAGAGAGATTTTCCTTGGTGAGAATGGATTTCTTCTCTCCTAAAGTTTGTTTTTCTTATCTATGGAGAGTCTGGTATGCGGACGAAAAAAGATTTGAGGAACAATTTTGTCTCTTTCTTGGTAAATTAGGAAAACACGTCACTGGCGAACAGAAAAGTAGATGAGAATTATATTTTTATTAGGAAAAACGCAATTTGTGTTTAATAAATAAACGGGGTGTCTACTCAAATATGAGTGTCCACTAAAAGAAATAACGTTTAAAGTGAAAAAAAAATCTGTTGTATTAATAAATAAAAAATTATTATTTTAGAAAATTACTTTGTTTAAGTTTGGATATGAAACTGAGCAAATAGTTACAGTTTATGGGAGATGATGACTTTGTGAGGAGAAGGATTTTGCTTAAAAACTCTGTTCAAACTTTACTTAGCCGAGTCGGTTAAAGCACGTCGGATCTAACGACGGTTTACAACTGCCCAAAGGTATGCAGGTTCGAATCATGCCGCACAGCGTATATTTTTCCTTTAATAAGATTTCTCGAATATTCAGTGTTGTGTGTATGTGTGTATTGTGTGGGTGTTGTGTGTTTTGTTGTGTGTGTTGTGTTGTGTGTGAGTGTTGTGTGTGAGTGTTGTGTGTGTTGTATTCTCTGTGTGTGTTGTGTGTATACATGTATTGTGTGAGTGTAGTGTGTTTTGCTGTGTGTTGTATGTGTTATGTTGTGTGTTCGTGTGTCGTGTGTGTTGTGTATGTGTTGTGTGTGTTGTGTGAGTGTTGTGTGTGTTGCGTGAGTTGTGTTTTGTGTACGTTTTGTGTGTGTGTTGTGTGCATCAGTGTATTGGGTGGGTGCTGTGTGTGTGTTGTGTACGTTGTGTGTTGTGTGCGTGTTGTGTGTGTACCCGTGGGTTTTCTGACCATTAGATCCAGGTACTAATCTCTCCATGGTCGATTAGTCAGAAATATCACCTTGATAATATCGGCCTAGGGGAGAGACCTTTGGAAAGTGACGGAAGACCATACCCTCGGGTTGAATCGGGTTACATCAATGGTTGTACGGACGAAGCCACAAGTCATCATGCCAGATGATGCACGCATTCCCACAAACTGTAACTAAAGTCCGCTCAGCACAGTTGTAGTATAAACCACAGGTTGGCTCTGAAAAGACACAAACATGCCTGAGTAGGCGTCTGCGCAACAGGGATTGGATATCCTCCCCAGCAGGGAGCCATAGTAAGAAATGAGGTTTTGCCATTATTTTTTATAATAAAGCATGACTCAATATTGTTCATAACGATCGATCTTTTCTCAAATGATTCGCGCCTTTTCATCTATTCCGCTTCTTTATAGGCATTTTCAAACCCACCAGATTTGGTGCACAGCCATGATTCCCCACCGGTGGGACATGGTAATAATTTGATAGGGTATGCGTAGGATGTGCACCCTTCAGCTTAATATACCAACAGAATAAAGGGGCAATTCGAGAATGAGTTATTAACAGTGAATTATTTTCTAGTCAACTCAGATTTCAATTTGCATTATTATTTCATGATTAAAATGATCAAAGTATATTACAGAATAAACTTTCATTCAAATATTTTATATTTCTACCTTTCAATTCTCTATTATATGTTTTGAAACTATATATATTTAACTGTCTTTTTGTTTTTGTTTTTTTAATTTTTCTCTTTTATAGACGCCATGGTCTTTGGAGGCTTCTTTAGAGATCAAGTTAATGGCCTTTGAAGCTTCCTTCACGTGAATTGAAGTTAAATTTTGAATATGCGAGAATTAAATATTACAGGAGAGTACCAAAATTTTAGAAATACCAAAGTGGGGAATGGCCCAAAATCGATTCGGAAACACTGATATACAGTGTTAGATTCTCACTGGAGTTTCTGTCTTCACAGATTTACTTCCATCGAAATAATCAAAGTAAACAATAAATAAATAAATAAAAATGTTGTTCCTTTAAAAAAAAAAAGCATAATCAGACAATTTTGTTCCGGGGTCATTTTGGTGTTGAGCGTTTAACGTTTATCCCTTTGTCATAGTTCAGTGGTTTTTAATCTTGTTGGAAGTACTGGACCCCCGCAAGTTTCATCCGTACATTCACCAAACCCGTTGTAATTGGAAAAATAAAATATGATTTCTTCAAAACATAAGTATATATTTTATTGGTGCACAAATGAACCATCCATATGTGTCGCGGCAGAATGTTTTTTTCTCGCCTGACTCTCTCCATCAAATCTACCATTCGTCCTTGGATTGAATAGTGTTGCCATGTCTGGTCTGGTTCCCTTCGCTGTTCATCTCAAAGTCCGCCACAAAACCCAGAGAAGGATGTCTGCCCCCCCCCCCGCTAAACCTATGAGAATGACTCACCCCTGGGGTTCTATCGAACCTAAGTTAAGAACTACTGTCTTAGGAGGAAAATGTTCAAGAGGGGGCCAGGTTATTACCTAGTGCCTGCGGCGTCACAGAAGAGTTTTCAAGTGGGTTTGAGAAGTGTTTGTCCCCAGTGTATACGTGGATAATAAACCCACTTTAAACTCGACTGTGCCACATTCTGTTCGAGTGTATTTATTGTTAAATAACTGTAAAAACATCCAATACGATGAATTAGCCATTTCATCGCTGGATTTATTCGTCCACGCAGTCAAAGCAAATGTAACCCAAGGCTGAATCTCCGACTGTATAAAAAAAATACTTAACAGCTTCAGCCACAAAGCAGATGAATTCGTGTAAATTTATTTGTTGTCTTGTTGGAGGAGATGGAATCGCTTTAACTAAACCTGACTTATAATGTTAAGCAACCTCTTCTGATTCACAAAATGTCTCATCCTCTTAAATACAGTTCCGCTGGGCTATATCGTGCAACAGATTTCGTTAAGAACATGATTGCAGGAAGAAACCATAGAAAAAATAAAATCGAAAATCCCAATCCTAACTCCTTGCAAAAAATGGCTTCTCACAAGAACATTCTTGATCCGGTTTGGAGATTGAAATTGTCTTAACTGACGGAAACTGGCAAACGAAATCAACTCGCCATTGGAAATATCCTGCTGTTTCGCGCCCATAGATATCCGCCATTTTATTGCTTGTTGGAATTATTAAGTTTAGCTAATGAATGTTCGAGGCATAAAAGTTCAAATGAAGTTCAACAAAACAGAAGAGACTGAAAGTGGCTGGTGCTTGCTTGGCACTCATGGCAAAAGTGTGTGTTATTCAAAATCGGTAGTATTAATAGATAACCCAAGACTTGAATCTTTATAAATTAACATTTTATCCACGCCAATATTTCGTCAGTTACTCTCGTCCAGTCTATAGTGCCAGCATTGTCGCCTCGAGTCCGGTATGTGGACCTTACATTCTGCCTGCGATGTGTAATTGACTGCCCAAGTTAGTTTTGAAGCTGTTGTTTATATATCTATTTGTCCAATATTCTCGTTTCCACGCTTACAATAACCAATGATGGTTTGAGGTTACGTAATTCTGTATTCGGTAGCAAGCTCATGTCAACCCTTAGTACCCCCAGATTCCTTGATGGTTTGGTGTTAAATTTGAGAACAATGCCATAATACGAACACTACAATTTCTTATTATTATTTTGAGTCTAAAAGGATGAAATGGTTATCTGGGCTCAGCAAATTAATCCAAAAGTAACTATACATATAATAACCTTTTTTCTGTCAGTGGTTTCAGGAAGGAGACGGTAATGGCTCTCCACAGCTTCTGTTTCATTATTATTTGTGACAATGGATTGGTTTCCTGCTGTCTTCTTCATGCCTTTAAATTCACAATAATCCTTCCTCTAGACTGTCTACTGTCCAAGGATAGGGAGCCCTGTTTGGCCTGATATTTAACATATGTTTAGGCGAGAAGAGATGGGTTCATGCCTTTCGTAAGTGTATGAGTGCGAAAGTGAACGCAACAGACGAGACTGTATCTTGAACTCTGCTCGACGATTCTCCTTTCCATGCCAATAGCCTTTACACTACCCGCATATTTTTAATGATTATCTTAATTCCTGACCAATGACTATCCCTTTTTTTTTTTTTAAATTTAAATCTACAACATTCAGATTTAAAACTGATGTGAGTAACGACGAGGTTTTAGAAAAATTTGAAACAAAAAAGAAACTTATACTTAACATCAGGAAGAAGCATTTGGAGTTTCTGGGGCGCATTATGAGGAAAGAGGGTTTCGAAAATCTGATACTCACATGACAGATTGAGGGAAAAGGGGACAGAGGAAAGCAGTGCGTAGTATACTTGGTGAGCTTGAATAAATGAATGGTAGAACAAACTTTGGGAGAAATATCAAAAAGGTAAAACTTGTTAAGAGCTACAAGGGATAGGAAGATGTGGAGAGCCATGATCGCTGACGTCCTGAAGGAACACGACACAAAGGGGCCAAAGGGCGACGAGCTTCGTTTTGCTGATTCTGGATAACTCACTGGTCGATACCAGTGGCTTTTATGCCTGGTGACGGGTCTCTCGAGGGTCGTCCTATCAACTGTTGACGGTCGGCTAAGTGCCTACCGTGGTTACTACGGGTAACAAGGAATCTGTCAATGGCAAGCGTGTTGTCGTCGTCGCCGCAGCCGTCGCACACGTAGGTATGTAGACGAGCCCAGTCTAAGTTCGACTGCAGGACTCTTCCACAGGATTGACTGGTCCTCGTACGAGCGGCTGTCCTCAGCGGTCGTGTGGTCGTCGTCACCGCGGCCGTTGGACGCGTAGCCGTGGTAGGTAGACGAGAAAGGTTTGCGAAAGTAAATTTTAGGACAAAGACTATAAAATCAACTATTTGTCCGTAAATCCAGAAATATATTTTCCTGATCAGTGCAAAATAATAATAATAATAATAATAATAATAATAATAATAATGGAGATAGGACCTGTTACAATTCTATGGGACTACACAATACACACTGACAGAACAATCAAAGCCAACCGGCCAGATATTGTTATTAAGACCACAAACAAAAAAGTGCCTCCTTATTGATATGGCAGTCCCTGCTGACTGCAATGTATCTTTGAAGATATTCAAAAAGTTGTCAAAATACAAGGACCTTGAAATAGAAATCTCAAAAATGTGGCATATGGGAACATCAACAATCCCCGTTGTAGTTGGAGCCCTAGGACTGGTTGGAAAAGATTGCAGTAGACTAATTGAAGGGATTCCTGGAAGTCCATGCCCCAAGGAGATACAAAAAATTGTTCTGACAAGTACAGCCCACACTATACGAAGGGCTTTATCTATGTAATTTTTTTTTTTTTTTTTTTTTTTTGTCAGTGGAAAGTGTCATGACGCCATTTCTAACCTTAGGTCCCTGGGCGGGACCCAGAAAGAAATGTGTAAACGCCAGAAATCACAGAAAATAATAATAATAATAATAATAGTAATAATAATAAACTGAGAGATGGAGTACCAATAAAGACAGCGAGTAGTAACAAAAAATAGCTGAAAACTTATCTCCAATCAACGCTAAGATGCCTGCAATATTTCTAGGAAGGAGACAAGCCAATACGCGGAGAGGATAGGTAATGGCCGATCTGTTGAAATCACTTCTCACTATCGCCCCCACAATCGCTTCTTCCAAGAAATGATATTTATCCCAACCCCGAAATAAAGCTAGTAAAAAAAATGGAAAAAATAGTCTATAATTAATTCTGTTGAGGAATTGCCGATAAAGCCCAAGAATCCAGCAACATCTGTAGACTCGTCTGGTTTTAATTCGTCAGTGTTACTGACACATAATCACGAAATACGTTCTGATTTAATCTCCTTGGAAATACAGCAGATTTGGAAATATAAATATCTTCAATTTTTTTAACATTTGTATCCTATCTTTCGTAGTATCGTTATTACAAAATTAAAAAATTACAAATTACGAACTATTTTTTCGTACATCCATAAATATTTTCCTGGTTGGTGCAAAATAATAATAATAATAATAATAATAAAATAAACCAAAAGATGGAGTAGCAATATAGACCAAGGTTAGCGACAAAAAATAGATGAAAAAGTTACCTACAATCAACGCTAACATTTTTTCAGTTTCTCGTTTAGAACGAGATTACATAGAAATATAAGTTGTTATTTTTGTACAAAAAGAGGCTTCATCGACATAGAAAATTGAATTGTCATATTTCTATTTTTTGACCAGTGAGAGCCCTCGAAAAGAACGCTGTACTTTCTGTCCCTTGCAGACTTTTTTTTTATGAAGATTCAAATCACTTCAAATCTTAATCGATTTTCCCTCTTAAATAAAAAATAAAAATAATTAAATATATTCTTAACCAATCGTAAATTTGGAAAGTAATTCTTAATTTTAAGGTCCCGTTTTTGAGCCGAATGATTGCTATAAATTTTGGTCACTAATCTAAATTATCCAGTCTTAGGTAAAAATTTTAATTTACCGATTATTAACTTTCGGCATTGTTCAACGCCGAATAGCATCTATACAATTCCAATAAATACCTTATTCACTTTTATTTTTATTATTAGCATTCTTCTTCTTCTTCTTCTTCTTCTTCTTCTTCTTCTTCTTCTCCATCAACTCCTCCTCCTCCTCCTCCTTCTTCTTCTTCTTCGTCTTCACCTCCTCCTTCTTCTTCTTCTTCTTCCACCTTTTCCCTCCTCCTCCTTCTTCTTCTTCACTTCACCTCCTCCTTCTTCTTCTTCTCCACCACCTCCTCCTTCTTCTTCTCCACCTTCTTCTTCTCCTTCTTCTTCTCCTCCTCCTCCTCATCCTCCTTCTACTTTTTCTTCTCCTCCTCCTCCTCCGCCTTCTTCTTCTTCTTCTTCTTCTTCTTCTCCACCACCACCACCTCCTTCTCTTCTTTCCTCTACATAACTGATGAGCCTCTACAGAATTACATAACGAAAGTTCTCTTCTAGAAATTAAGCAAATTTTTGACAGATAGAAACTAAGAAAAAGGTGCTGAACCGCTACATGATCTCCTACATGGCGGTGAATTGTGGCACAAGGCCGGTTTAACGTGGGATCTTCGAGCCCGGGCGATCTCCGAGCCCGGGCGATCTCCGAGCCCGGGCGATCTTCGAGCCCGGGCGATCTTCGAGCCCGGGCGATCTCCGAGCCCGTGGGCTCGTCCAAAAATATGCCCTTTGAACCCGTATAAACGGGTTCAGGGTCGGTTTACCTCCCCGAAAGAGACTCCGCCCTTCGGCGTAGCCTCGTTCGAGTTCCTCCCCGCCCGAAGGCAGAGAGTTCAACCGATCAGCCGATCAGCCGGTCGCCCGACTTGAGGCGCAGTATTTATCACGTATGGGATAGTCCATTATGTTATTTTGGGTAAGGTCCCATAGCAATATATATATTGGGTTGTTAGGAATCTGATACATTTTTGCAGATAAAATACAAATCTACTCATATTTATGTGTGTATTTTTTTTAAATCTATGGTTTCATAACATTTAAATGTCTACCCTTTAAAAATTTTGCAAAGTGTGCCATGATATTTTCATTTGCTCTTAGGTGTGCCGTTGCTTCAAAATGTTGAGAAACACTGAAGTAATCAATTTTCCTCCATGATGATGACCATGCCATCAATAGAGACACTTTCTACATTATATATGTTCCTTTGCATAATCATTTCTAACTTAATAGCTATGTTTTTATAATAATAATTACCATATTAAAGGAAGATGATGTTTATATTCTATTAATCAGGCAATGATATATATTTTATGCTTTGTGACCTGAGCATTGACTATTGTGTTTATGTCTGATATGCTCAAAGCTTTACAATTTTGTTCTGTACTTTGTATGAATGTAACTAAATATTTATATATTTAATTTAGATATTTAGATATTTGAATAGAAACATTAAAATAAAGAAAAATCATATTTGGTCTGTGTATTTTTTAAAAATTTTTTTCATAACATTTAAATGCATACCCGTTAAAAATTTTGCTAAGTGTGCCATGATATTTCGTTTGCTCCTTGGTGTGCCGTTGCTTAAAAATGGTGAGAAATACTGGATTAGATGAACCGTTTAATAAAGCGTTCATTGTATCATGTAAGTTTTCGGCCTTCATCTGACCGTGATACGCGTGAAATACAAAGACAGCTGTCATAAATGGTAAAGGCTATCTGTGTTGTTGTGTCTGCGCAATGTTTTCCGTCTGTTCGTTAAGGGATAAGTATTTTTTTAGAAAAAACAAAAATTCTGGTGAATTTACTTTGCTATGAGGAAATTAAATTTTCATTAAATTTTAATTTTATTTATTTTAAAATTTTTTCATTTTATTTTTTATTTAAAGCTCAGTTTTTTTAAGTGGAATTTCAATAAAAATGCTGGGAACCGGTCTCAACCGGTTTCAACCAGTATCAACGAATGACCGAAATAAATTTCGGAATGCCGACAGTTGAGTTTCAAATAGACGGACAAAGACGACTATTTTTCTTTTTTAGAAAAATTCATCCGAGACTTACTTATTCCAACCACGCCTTTTATTAAATATTCATTAAATTTTCTCTGGACCCTTAACTTAGGTTGTATGCCTTTTGGGGGTAATTTAATGAAAATTGTTTAGAAAACATAAACAGAATTCCAGCCGCCCCTTTTATTCCAATCACTCAGTTTATTTGAAACTCAAATATAACATGCTTTTTAAGATGTATTTAATAAATTTTCATTCTTTGAACAAATTCAAAATTCTACGCTACAATGGAACAATGGTTAAAATAGAAGTTGTTAAAAATCAAAAGAATAAAATAATTCTTAATCCTTTATCTCTACACTATTTACATTATTCGGACTATTGTCCTCATCTTTGTCGCCATATTTATTACAACGTTTCGGCCGTTGTACGCTCCGGCCTTCTTCAGTATCTGTCTATATTTCTGAGATGAGGTATTATGTACACTATTTACATTATTGTTCTCTATTGAACTCACACTCTTTGAGTCCTTGTCACAGGATCTAATTAACGCCTTTATCCACTGTGCCATGTAACCTTGAGGACATTTGTGCATGAATTTCTGGATATTATAAACCTAATGTCTTCAGTAATGTTTTCAATAAACGGTTACGGCAATGGAGAACTTGGAGAGGGGAATTAACAGGAGATAACTGATAATTGACATCCATTAAAAATGGCACGTGGAACTAGAACAGTCCACCCCAGTGAGCGAAATAAAGGGTTCATTCAGTTCGACATTCCAACTACCTGAAGAAGACAACAAAACGTTGTAATAATAAATATGGCAACAAAGATGAGTATAATAGTTCGAATAAGGTAAACAGTGTACATAATATCTCCTCTCAGAAATATAGACAGATACTGAAGAAGGCTGTAGCGTATAACGACCGAAACGTTGTGAATATGGCAATGAAGATGAGGATAACAGTCTGAATAATATAAATAATGCAAGTAATCATAATACCTCATCTCAGGGATATAGACAGATCCTTTATCTCTCTTTGAGAATAATCGTTCGTCAGTCGCATGATCTGCAACTACCAATAATGCAAATACTAATCGTGGATGGTGGTGACTTCATAGTCTACCAATGGAACGCCCTCTTGCGATTTTAATATTTCTAGTTTTAAGGACGATCACTCAACCTAACACTACAAATGCAACAACTGGTGAAACCACATCTATACTAAACACAGATATTACAAGCCCAGAGAAATATGAACGTCTACTCCGATTGCATAAAAAACAGCATCTTCCCATACTGAGCCAATATCTATAAAAGAGACATAAGTGTGATAGGAATTATCATTTGGCTTAACTAATGTATCTCATGAAAAACCCCAGATGCCTTTTGTTTATTTTGTAGCATATTATTGGCAAACAGTAAAATTATGGAGAAAAGAAATCTCTCGAATTATAAAAATGAAGGCGTTAGGATAAATTAACTTACTGGCCCCCAATGCACCGGATTAGATCTGGTCATTTGACCAACAATAGACCCGCGTCTTTTGTTGAAGCCGCTAAGTAAAGAAGTATTCGTGACGTGCGCGTAGACACAGCTTTTACAACATTACGTGTCGGACTTGTGAATAAACACAGCTTTTGTGACATCCACTATTCAGGGCCAAAAAGAAGACATTTAAGACAGTTTTATTTTTTGTTAGCGTGTTCTCTCTATAGAAAATAAGAATTTCAATTAAATTCTTCCGTTTGTATTTTTTCTTATTTTAAATGAATAATTATCTTCTTTCGACAACCAGATACTACCAAGGCCACTCTATATATTTTTATTAAAACAAAGGTAGTTTTCATAAAATATGATCTTCAGAATAATTCTAAAAGCTTTTCATGTTTTAAAGATACTAGCACGAATACTGAAAATGCAGCGGAGACGTCATATAAAGCATGTTATTACCTTGCTGTGGTTAGGCTTCTGGTTGGGAGATTGGAGGTTTTGTGGAGTGTGGAACCACCTCTTAATTTCCGTTGTTCTTACGTAAACCCTGATCTGGTAGATATTAGGGTCTATAGGAATGAGCAAACAGTAAACCACCAAACAAAAATCAACAATACATTTTATAATAAAATAACCAACAATGCATTTTTATAATAAAATGACCAACAATGCATTTTATAAGAAAATGACCAACAATCCATTTTTATTAGAAAATGACCAACAATGCATTTTTATAAGAAAATGACCAACAATATATTTTTATAATAAAATGACCAACAATATATTTTTATAATAAAACGTCCAACAATGCATTTTATAAGAAAATGACCAACAATCCATTTTTATTAGAAAATGACCAGCAATACATCTTTATAATAAAATGACCAACAATGCATTTTTATAATAAAATGAGCAACAATATATTTTTATAATAAAATGACCAACAATGAATATAATAAAATGACCAATAATGCATTTGTATAATAAAATGACCAACAATACATTTTATAGCAAAATGACAATCAATACAACACTAAAAAAAAAGTATAAAAATACATTTTATAGTAAAATTACCAACAATAGATTTTATGATCTACAAAATATCTTTACTTTGAAAGTATAAGATTATGTAAAAATATCTGTAGTTGAAAGCATAAAATTACGTACACTATTTACATTATTCGAACTATTGTCCTCATCTTTGTCGCCATGTTTACCACAACGTTTCTGACACATTAGACAGTGAATAATGGCGTTAGTTAGACCCAGTAACATTACCCAACCTGGTTAAGGCAGTGGGGAACTTTCACAGGGGAATTAACAGGAGATAAATGACATCGATTAGACATTGCACGTGGAACTAGAACAGTCTACCCCAGTGAGCGAAATAAAGGGTTCAGTTCGACATTCCAACCACTTGATGAAGGCCGGAGCATACAACGGCCGAAATGTTGTGATAAACATGGCGACAAAGATGAGGACAATAGTCCGTATAATGTAAATAGTGTACATAATACCTAATCTCAGAAATATAGAGACATACTGAAAGGCCTAAACGTTGTAATAAATATGGCGACAAAGATGAGGACAATAATCCAAATAATGTAAATAGTGTACATAATACCTCATCTCAGAAATATAGACAGATAAAATTACGTATTTAGAAGTTTGGCATTAAATAACCCATGGAGGTATTGATATGCCGCCAAACACAATCAACCAACCAACTTGCTGTAATTGGTGAAGCGTATAGCATTAGCGAAACACTTTTTTTAATTTTTTGAAAAAGATGCTATGAAAGATATGATAGAGATTTTGTTAAAAAAAGTTTAAGATTTCTGTTTCCAAATCTACTATATTGCCTAAGAGATTAAATCAGATCGTATTTTATGTAAGTGACACGAATTGAAACCATACGAATCAACAGATTCTGTTAGATTCTTGGGGGCTATC